CTGTGGGGGGGGGAGGGAGTGAAGAGAGGGTTGGCTCCTGACAGCAGGGAAGGGGGGCCCTTGGGATGCCCAGAGGCCTGGTCCAAAGTGAAATGCACGGACAGGGTTAAAAAAACGGGGGGGCACCTTGAGGAGGGAGTAACTGAGACTTCCTGAGGCTACAAAAGCGACAGGAAAAGATTCCTGCCAAAGGTCTGTGGCTGAATTGAGCGAGTCCTGAGGTCGTCACAGAGACGGGGAGGATGTTGCTTCCCTGGACTCAGAAGTGTGTGCTGGGGTGTGTGTGCGTGCGTGCATGCGTGCTCAGGAGGTCCCTCCAGAGAAATGGCTTCGTACACTTTTGTCCCAAGAAGGAAACGGAGGGATTGAGGCGCTCTTTGCTCCGAGATGACTTTCTTTTGCAAGCTTGAGTTTTGTGTGCCGTTCCTCTTGTTCCTGGGCCGTCTGGCCGGCCGGCTGGGGGCTTCTCCCTGGCCAGTCGCGGAGCGTTCTCCCAGTCCCCCCCCTCCCACGTCTGCTTGGCTCAGCAAGCCTCACCGGATCCCCTCGTTCCTGCGGAGGGACTTTTTCTATGCACTGGCCGGCCTTTATCTGCTCCTCTTGTTCTAAACCTCCACCCCATAGTTCCCCTCTGGAGTGCTGTTGCTCGGGTGTTGAACTTTGTTGGAAATCTTTATGGTGTTCGGTCGCGGTTCAGACCTCCTCAGGGGAGGACTCGGGAGCAACGCAAGGTGCACCAGCAGACACGAAATAGCTCCCTAAAGGCCTCGTGGATGCCCACAGCAACCCTCAGGGTGGGCAGAGCCGGAGTTCCAGGGGCGGTGCGACGGGGCGCCTGCCCTCCACCCCCCCCCCAGTGTTGCTGGCCTGGTGCAGCGCCAGTCAGTCTGAGGAGAAGCCCTGAAGCCCTGCTGAGCTTGGTCCTGGCCGTCCCTTCTGTGTGCTTATCCCACACTCTGGGGGTTTCCCTCTGGGCTCTGGCTTCCTTTCTGCTCCCCTGCGCCCCCCCCATGGCCATGTGTCTGTGCACGCGCGCTCAGGTGCGCCTGCAGGTGGGTGCCTGTGTCCTGGTGCAGCGCCAGTCAGTCTGAGGAGAAGCCCTGAAGCCCTGCTGAGCTTGGTCCTGGCCGTCCCTTCTGTGTGCTTATCCCACACTCTGGGGGTTTCCCTCTGGGCTCTGGCTTCCTTTCTGCTCCCCTGCGCCCCCCCCATGGCCATGTGTCTGTGCACGCGCGCTCAGGTGCGCCTGCAGGTGGGTGCCTGTGTGAGAAACCAGAGAGCTGGCCTGGGTGTCAGCTGCCGAGGGTGCAGACGCCAGCGCGCCACCCGTGTGCTGGCTTGGGAGCACCACGAGGGTGTCGGGGGAAACTGGGGGTGGGGAGGGCGGGCTGGGCAGCCCCCCTTCTGATGCCCCCCACCCTGCCCTGCTGCAGCTGGTCTGGGTCAAGAAGGGGGCTCCTCCTTCCAAGGGTGAGTATGGGGGGAAGGGGCTGCTCAGAAAGGGCAGGGATCCCCTGACCCCTCCTCACTCCAGGCATCCAGGGCCTTGCTGTATGTGGGGGGGCGCGCGTGCGGCGGCACCCCTGAGCCATAGGCCTGTGTGGCTAGTTGTACACGAGGCACTGGTTAGGCCTGACTTTGAGTAGTGTGCCCAGTTCTGGACACCTCACTTCAAGGAGAATGCTGACAGATTGGAACAAGTTCAGAGGAAGGTGATGAGGATGATCAGGGGGCTGGAAGCCAAGCCCTGTGAGGAAAGGCTGAAAGAACTGGGCATGTTTAGCCTCGAGAAAAGAAGACTGAAAGGAGATTGGATCACACTTTTCAAATATCTGCAAGACTGTCCTACAGAGGAGGGGCAGGATCTGTTCTCCGTCATCCCAGAGTGCAGGACACACAGCAATGGGCTCAAGTTAAAGGAAGCCAGATTTTGGTTAACTGTCAGGAAAAACGTCCTAACTGTCAGAGCAGTAAGATGAAAGAACCCGTGACCTGCACTCCCTTATCCACGTCATTAATAAAAGCTCAGCTATTCTAGGATTCTATGACTATCAAATGGGCCAAAAATTCTGGTGGTGCTAAGATTCTGGCCAAGGGTGGAGACTCAGGAGAGTTCCCGTCTGTCTTTCGGGAGCCCTTTCAGGACTGTGACCATCGGTGTGTTCCCGTCTGTCTTTCTGGAGCCCTTTCAGGACTGTGACCATCGGTGGTTGCATTTTCAGGTGCCAGGCCGGAGAGCTCAGTGGTTTAGGAGGTCACTGGCCGCGGAGCCAGAGGTTGGGGGTGGAAATCCCCTGACGGTGGGCGCCTCCTGAGCCGTGGGCCGGTGGGACCAGTTTGGCACGAGGCGGTTCCCCAGGCAGTGCGATGCAGGCAGCGTCAGCCACCGGGAGACCTCAGCCCTTCTCTGGAGTGGGTCCCCCTATTTAAGGGGCAGTCAGGCTGGGGCAAGTTTGCTGCTTAGCATGTTCCCCTCCCCTCCTCACCCCAGCCTTTGCTTTTTAAGTGTGGGCCAGTCATAGATGTAGCGTTTCCCTCCCCAGGGCTAGGATCCCACCTCTGCCTGACTCATACAGTACTAAAAAGGATTCTCTCTCTCTCTCTCTCTCTCTCTCTCTCTCTCTCTCTCTCTTCTCTCTCTTCTCTCTCTCTCTCCCCACAGGTCTTTGCGTTTGACGTCGCCGCTTTCTCTCACCACAGGACTTTGGGCTTGACGTGGCCGCATTCTGCAACCTGGTGGGGCCGGATTGCCCGGCAGCATTCCTCCAGCTGGCCTTCCACTGCTGCAGCGTAAGCCCCAGGGACCCCCCTTCCTCTCCCCCTCCTCTGACCCTTGCCAGCATCTCCATAGAGCCTTTGGAGTGCCTTTCTGGACCTTCTCCCACATCTCCCGGGCAGGATGGGATCATGTGGGTGGGGGGCCTGGTAAGGAGGGCCGGCTGAAGCTTTGGGCTCCCAGCTCCCGCTGGATGAACCTAGGAATTAAGAGCAAGCACAGAAACACTTGCCCTGAGCCAGAAATAAGACACAAATTAAAAATGAGAAAAACAGGTTAGGTAAAATCATCGGGGAAGCCTTTCTCTCCATCCTGCCAGCTTCACAGGTGCGTCTGATGGGGACGTGGGAGAGGGCCTTCTTTGTTGCTGCTCCCAGACTGTGGAACTCCCTGCCACTGGAGACCAGGCTGGTCTTACTGCAAGAAGGCTGTCTTTCTGCAAGAAGTCAAATAGACCTTTCTCTTCAGGCAGGCTTTCCCTGAGTCAAGGCTTTTTTAAATGGATTGTTGTGTCTTACTGCATTGAATGTGCAGTACAGTATTGCTTTTGTTTATTGTTTTTCAGAGTGGCATCTGTTTGATCCTTTGTAGTCTTTGTATACTTACTGTTTTTAGCTTTAAATATTGTCTTTCAATGATGTAAGCTGCGTTGAGTCCTTTTAAGAAGGAAGGCCGTGTGGATATGTTTTAAACAAACAAAGCAACAAACCACATCCATAAAAGAAATACAGCCCATGAGAATGAACTGAATGAAGCAAGTCCCCTTGGATTTCCAGTGGGCATGACTGGTCAGCCCGTCAGGCCAGGCCTCTGCCCGGAGAGCTGCCTTGAAGCCGGCTGGCCATCCGGAAGCCCCCACCCCCACCCCTTGGCACCCTTGGCAAAGAGTCCCACAGCTTGGGAGCTGCCCGTTCTCTTTGGCATAGCTAGACGCTAGCGGGGCAGAAGGAAGAGAGGCGGGACAGGTGCCATTGTGGTCCTGCTGGGCAGCCTGGCAGGTGGGCATACTCCCAGTGCTGCAGCTGCTCAAATGCACACCTTGCTCCTGGCAAAAGCGGGGCCTCCCGGCTGCCACCCAGAGAGCCCCCAAGCTCGGTCCTCGAGGGAGGCGGGATGCCATCCAACCCTGGTGGCCTTTTTGCCCGCCTTGGCCTGGCAGCTGCTCTGAGTGTTTCCTCTTCCTCTCCCCACCCCAGATGGAGCCAACCTCTCGGCCCTCCTTCCTGGAGATCACACAGTGCCTGGAGGCCATCCTGGAGCAGCAGCTGGCAGGTGGAGACCCCGGCACCGGCCGGCAGAGCGGCAGCAGGACCCTCCTTCCGGGGAGCCCAGTGCCTGTGCTGAACGGTACGGCTTTCGCAGTCAAGCTTTTCAAGATGACTTCTACGTGCAGGGCCTTATTTGCTGGGGCCCCCCTTTTTTGCAGCATGCCAGTTTATATATGTTGTAAAGAAAAAGATTGTCAGGAATCTGCGTAGAATTGTGTGTGTGGTTTGAAAAGCAGAGAAATTCCCAAAGAGGAGAGGGGAGAGGGAGAGAAGTTGTACCCCAGAAATGTTAAGGATATTTGAACGAGAGATCAATCTCCTTTCGTGCTCAAAACATGGGCACGTTGTGTGCATCTGATACTTTAATTTCTACCCCAAGTAAACACCACAGCCTCATCCTGCCGCCCACCTCACTCCTCGCAGAGCCGACCACGGGATGGTGTGGAGGAGATGAAAGACTGGCTTTGGGAGGTCAGAAGAGTCTGCAGGCAGGCAGATCTGGAGCCCAGGAGAAAGGGACAGCAAGAGTAGGCCCATTGAGTCAATGGAACTTACGTAGGTGTTGACTCACTGAATCCCCACAAATTCAGTGTTGCAACTTACTAGATTTCAGCCACTGAAGAGCTGAGCTGGAAGGGATCCCGTTGAGGTCTTTAAAGACCTACAGGATCCGGTCCTGTGGATCTGCCTTTGAGTGGTGGAAGTGTTTTGGTCTTTCACTGTCACGGTCCTAGAAATGGCCTGGAGTTCCACCGTTGGGGGGCTCCCCGATGATGCTCACGCAGGCCTCTTTTTTCCCTTTGTGCAGGGAAAGCGGTCAGGGAGCCGGCGTGTCCCCAGAGCCCGTCCAGCCTGCTGGACCAGCACCTCCTGCCTCCAGACCAGCGCCTTTCCCGCAGCCAGTCGGACGTGTTCCCGCCTCGGTCGCCCGCCCCGCCCCGCGCCCAGGACACCCCCCAGCGCGTCAACCCCTTCTCCCAGCGGCAGGACCTCCAAGGCGGCAGGATCAAGCTCTTTGACACGCCCAGCAAGTCCCTGATCTCCTTGACCTTTGACCTCCCGCCCCCTTCCCCTTTCCCGCCGGGCACGCCCATCCCTCCGGAGCCGGCGGTGGAGACCCGGTGTGACTTCTGGGAGGCCGCGCCCCCGCTGGCCCGCCGGTGCCGCTCGCTGCCCTCGTCCCCGGAGCTGCCCCGCCGAGGGGGCCGGTCCCAGCCCCACAGCGACGGCCTCCTCGCCCTGGACTGCAGCCGCCTGGAGGCCCCCGGCTCCCCCGCCAGTGAGCTGATGGACTGCAGCCCCGACCCAGACCCCACCCCGCCGGCTGTGACCCCCCCGAGCAACGGCAGCTTTGTCAGCACCACGGGGTCCGGCCTCCAGCCATCGTGGTCCCCCAACGGACTCCTCCTGAACAAGAACAGCCGGCCCCCAGGCTGGGGCGGGGGCTTCTCGGAGCTGAGCCTGGCCCCCGGGGCGGAGGGCATGCCGCCGGAGTG